GAATTCAGCACAATAAGCATATTATAATTTGGCAGACTTCCTATGGGCTACCAGTTATTTTTCAGGTTCAGCTCAAAGTGCTGCTTATTACTTACGAGCAGGGCTCTTTTTGTAGAAAACGCCTAGCAGGAACTCATTAGCATAATAGGCCACACCCAACAGCAGAAACGCATTAGCATATTAGGCCACACCCCTGACATCACAGCTCATTAGCATATTAGGCCGCACCCCCATGTTACCAGAAGTGTGGTTATCCAGCAACACCCACCTTTTGCTTGTTATTCTGTTTACCTTGTTTGTTGACAAAACCCAGGGCCTTTTTTGTAGCAGGAACTCCTTTGCATGTTAGGTCACAGACCCCTAATGTAGCCAATCCTAATGAGTTTCTGCTGTTGGGTGTGGCCTATTATGCTAATGAGTTCCTGCTGGGTGTGGCCAACTTGGGAGCCAGCCGGAACTCCGTTCCTGCCCCAAAATAGCCCTGCTTACGAGGTCACTCATATTTACAGGAACTTCCCTATCAATATGCTCCGTGGAGACAGATTTGCTCATCTGAGAAAAGGAAATGGTTAGATGAACAGCTGCCTGTTCAGAATTTTATAATTCTACATAACGTATACAGTGGAGCTATTTAAGAGGGCATTTCCTTTACACCCTATATGGGCAAGGAGGAAAAGTCCTTTTTTAAAAAAAACTTTCATCCAGAACAAAGTCAAAATCTTTTATTACAGTCCATGACCAGAATAATAAAATTAACCGAAATATGAAATATAACAAATCTTGTCATTAGAACCTGGCAACAAGGACGAACACTAATTTACAATAATAAAGTAAAACCTTCCAGTCCAGTCAGGCCAAGGGATATCATGGTACAGTGCTTAATCAGGCCAATGTATGTCTTCTGACATAACTAACTAACAGCAAAAGTAGAAAGGCTGCCCAATTCCCAATAAAATGTCAGGATTAAGGTATTAGTCACAATTGGTAGTTCCATCTTCATTCCCTGGCGAGATCTGAATAGAGTGAAGTTGAATTGCTTGAGAGCAAAATTTGGCTACTTGCCGAGTTGTCTCAGTACACACATCAGACAGAAGTGAATTAATGCTAGCTGGGTCAGAAGTATCTATAGATCATTGGAGTAATGGGAAAATATATATAGAACGAATCCCATTATAGAAGGGCCAATGAAAGAACACATGCACCATCGTCTCTATCTCTGTGCTATTGCAGGGGCAGAGTCTCTCACCCCAAGGGATCCTATAGTATCCTTAATAACTGTTGATGGTAAAGCGAAAAATCTGGCAAGAGTGAAGACTCCGCTCAGAAGAAGAAAAAATAGGGTCCCCCCCCCTAAAAAACATTATGAACTTGCTATGGTAACAGAAACAACATAAAGTTCAAAACAAGCCAGTTAACAAATGATACAAAAAAAAAAGAGAGGGAATTTTTATAAAGGGAATAGGACTGCAGTTAACTTAAAAACTTTAGACAGTTTTACTGCACTGTGTATTGTAGGTATGCTAATTTTCTAATAAAATCTGCTTTGACGCAGCATCTTTCCACACTCTGTTTCTATGATTTCACCCGAGTGAATTCTTGCATGGGAAGCTAGGGTTCCAATCTCCCCAAAAGCCTTTTCCACATTCCAGGCATCTATACTTTTTCCCAGTTGTGAATTCTTTAATAGGAAGGCAGGAAGATATTCTTCTGCCCAAAGTATTTTTCCCACACGTCAACATTATTAAAACCTAGCATTAAAAATAAAGCCAGTGCATAAGAGAAGTAATTGAGCAGCCAAAAATAATCGGAACACTTTTCGGACAGAAGCATGCTATTGTTAAAAGATTGAACCACGCCCCCAGTTAGGGAAGATTAAATCCATTACGAGGACTATGTTTGCAAATACCCTATTTTTTTGTTATAAACTTACCATTAGTGATTAGTAGTTTCCAACTAGACACTCCACAAAAATTAGTCTTAGGTCTGATATGGGATAACAAATGCTCTACGGTAGTGGTGAAAGTATTGGATAAACAGAGGGAATAAGGGGGACTTGCTGTACTAAACATTTCCCAGTATTACTGTACAATAAAATTAGCAGTGTAAAAGGACTGGAGATGCAATGAAGGATATATCTGAGATCTGTTTAGTATCTTACATCTGTCATAGTGGGAAGGAGAGAATGGTGTATTTTCTTTCTGGGTTCTCTGGAAAACACCCTTGTAACCCCCTGCCAACACTCAGGACCTGCTGAGAACATGTAGACTGACCCACTGAAAAAGTATCGTTCTAGCACAGAACTAGAACAATAACACAGTGACAGGGTAGAAACTCTAGCAAATACCTTCGAACCAATGATATAGCACCCGTGTGAACTATCATGCGGGAAACAGATTCAGAGAAACATCCCAGAGAAATAAATTGTACTAAGCAAAGCCAGAAATTTCTTTATTAAAAGGTTTATTATAAAAGAAAAGAGAAAAAAGGGGAAAGATTGGATTTAAAAAGGGTGGAAAAGGGCAAAACCCCAATATAGGGGAAAGGCAACACAGCACAGATACGTTCAAATAAAAAGCAACACAGTCAAACTAAATATGCTAAACACACTTTACCTACACTATAGCAGGTTCGTCAGAACATGTGCAGAGTTCATAACAAGATGTTGGAGGAGTCTTTAACCTCTATCCAACCTCCTGTGGAGCCGGTTTCTGCTGAAGCCTGAAACCCAAAGACGAGGGAAAATCCCAAATATCCTCTCTAAGATCCCAGCCTCCTCTCTAAGAATGATGAGTTAATGTAGTGAATGGCATGCAAAGCCCCATCTCTGATGCCAGAGGCTCCTGTTGCCAATCAGAGTCATATAGAATATAGTCCCAGTTCCATCAACCATCTGGTCATGGCTCTGAACGTCCATGGCAAACAGGTGGCCCTTCGTCCAAAAGAGATTAACTCTGCCAGGCTGGTCCACTGTGGAATGGAAATGAAGGGGTCACTGTAATGTAAACCTCCAGAGATCCAAGATCCCAGACACTGTAGGTGGTACATTGCCCTAGAAAGGTTTTAGGGTTTTGGCCAGGAGGTCCATCATTATTTATTTGTTTGTTTGTTTGATTCGATTTATACCCCACCCTCCCCGCCAAAACAGGCTCAGGGCGGCTTACATAAAAAGTTAATGTTTTTGTGGTTCCAAAAAAAGGGGAAGGGGGAAAAATGTTTTTGCTCTTGGTACAGTTAAGTCTTAAAAGTATGGTATAAGCGGAAGCAGAAATTGGCACCTGGGGTTTCTCCACTGATTTCTATATCCTATAATAATGAAATAATGTCGATCACCTGGGAAACACAGGCCTTTGGAACCATGGTTCTTTTTTCTTTATCATCCTTTAATGACTTTCTTTCTAGTAATCAGATGCTATCCTATACAAAAATAGCAGAGAAGATGGAGGCCCGAAGGTCACTCTTGTTTCAGTATTTTCAAATCAGGAGTACTGTATATGTGCTACAATAGAAATACTATCATTTAAGGAACATTCTAGCTTTGAGTGCTTTTTGGTGGGAAATATTACAAAAGAACTTATTGGGAGGAATCACCTAATTATCAGCATAAATGGAAAAGGGATTTGGAATCTGAGTGGAAAACTGGAACTTGATTCGGTCCAAAAGACTTCCCAACATTATATCCACAGGCAGAAGAAAAAAATCTGGATACCATTCAATACCAATAGTAACTGACAATGGCCAAACTGAGACTTATTTATAATCCAGGAGTAGCTATTGGCGATGCCAGAATTCAGGAGCTGATGCGTTACGTATTTTTTTTAGTACTGCCTTGTTATAAAATTAATCTAGAAGGAAGGTAATACTGCAATAACAAATATGTTGGGATATAATTTACCATTTAAATTATTACTTTGGAAGAAAGACCTAGAACTTATTTTGGGTTTGATAATCACAGCTTGATGTATGTTGGGGAAAAACAAATAAAACTCAACATTATTAATGAACAGGTATAAGCAAATACGTGATTTCATATTAATGTCAAAATTAACATATTATAGTAGATCAGGATCGACTCCCGATAATAATAAGTTTATTGACAAGTGGGCTTTATTTACAATGTGTTAGAACAAAGTTCTAAGATCACTGTCATGATTTTTAAAAATTTCCTGAATAGATCCGGAATACTGATGATGAAATACACTATCAGTAGATATAGTACTGAACTGTGACTTGTGATCTTATATATGCAGGGAAAGTTAATCTTGTGCTGGTGTTGAAGCAGCTGTAATAGCTCAGCCCAGCCTGATCTTCAGAGCTTGGGAGCCAGGCTGGGTTGGCTGTGGTCAGTACTTGAATGGGAAACTACCCAGGAAGACTGATCTACCATGCAGAGGAAGGCCATGGCAAACCACCTCTGCTCACCTCGTGCCTTGAAAACCCCATGAATCAGTTGCAGCTCGCCAGCTTTACACTTTACCTTTTTTAGTATAGACTTTCCTCTTGAGTATTTAGTTTTCAATTAAAATTTAAATACTGTTTTTGTTTGCAAAGTAGGATCTCTATGGAAATAAGAAAAAATATATTGTCTGAACCTGATCTGTTCATCTTCCTTTTTTTCAGCTGACACTCATTCATCAAGTGCTTTAGATGCTTTTTGTTTATTTATACATTAAATATTTCTTCCTTTTGTATGGATATGGTTGTATTACTATATCTGACATTTTGATTGATTTATGAAATAATAAAATGGGGGGGAATGAAAAAAGATCAACCCCTTCCTTAAAAGCCTGATTAAACAGAAGAATTTTGGCCTGTCAACTAAAAGAAAGTACCATAGGCAACAGGTGAGCAATTGGAAGGGCATTCCATAGGCAAGGCACCATCACTGAAAAAACCCTGTCTCTGGCTGCACCTGCCTCATGTCCTTTCTCCCATATGTATTATTTGATGCAGAGTAAAGTTTCCACTCTTACTGAAGTTCTTCCCACTCTCCAGGCATTTATATGGTTTCTCCCCTGTATGAATTTTTAGATGGGAAGTAAGGTTTCCACTTTTACTAAAGGTTTTCCCACAGTCCTGGCATTGATATGGTCTCTCCCCTGTGTGAATTCGTTGATGGGAAGTAAGGCTTCCACTCTGACTGAACCTTTTCCCACATTCCAGGCATTCGTATTTTTTCTCCCCTGTATGAATTCTTTGATGGGAAGTAAGGTTTCCACTGTGAGTGAAGCTTCTTCCACACTCCAGGCATTTATATGGTTTCTTCCCTGCGTGAATTCTTTTATGGGTAGTAAGGTTTCCAGTCCTACGGAAGCATTTCCCACACTCCAGGCATTTATATGGTTTCTCCCCTGTGTGAATTCTTTGATGGGAAATAAGGCTTCCACAGTGATTGAAGCTTTTCCCACAATCCTGGCATTTATATTTCATTTCCCCTGTGTGAATTCTTTCATGATAAGTAAGGCTTCCACTGTGATTGAAGGTTTTTCCACACTGAAGACATCTATATGGCTTCTCCCCTGTATGAATTCTTTGATGGTGAGTAAGCTTTCCTCTCTGATAGAAGGATTTCCCACACTCCAGGCATTTATACGGCTTCTCCCCTGTATGAATTCTTTGATGGATAGTAAGTTTTCCATTCTGACTGAAGCGTTTCCCACACTCCAGGCATTTATACGGTTTCTCCCCTGTGTGAATTCTTTGATGGATAGTGAGGCTATACTTCCTCCCAAACCGTTTTCCACACTCCTGGCATTTATACGGTTTCTCCCCTGTGTGAATTGTTTGATGGGAAGTAAAGCAGTTCTTCCATCCAAATGTTTTTCCACACTTGAGGCATTTAAATATCTTCTCTCTTTCACAGGCATTCCATTGCATATTGATGTCTGACATTTCAGAAAATCTTTCTCCACATACAGTTTCCTCATTCCTAATCTCTCCTTTGTATATTATTGGAATTAGTGGGATTTCATGTGAGTCACCACCCTTTAGAAGACTGCAGTTACTCTTCCCTGTACATGGGTGTTTTCTGTCCTCTTTCCTCAGGGCATTACAATATTCAACATTCTCTTTCACATCTGGATATGTATATTCGTTCTCTGTCACTGGATGC